AAGCAGCGAGGATCCAACACTGCTGAATTTTGCGGAAGCGTCAGCAGTGGCGTAGAAAATATCTCTTCGTTGATTGACTGCTGCTCGACGCTTGCTGCTTGCTGCGTGCAGTCTGTAGCAGGCTTCACGCTCGAACGTCGCTGTAAATTGGGATTTAAGACCCGTCTTTGTGAAGAAGCACGGGACTCGAATTTCATGACTCACCTTAGCCCTTGCTTCCCTCGCTCTCGAATCGAATCGCTTCTCCTAAAACGGCATATCATTTGTCGTGTATTACCCTGGCGAAAATTTTAAGTGAGAAATGATGTTTATATTTATTTATAAAGAGTTTTATCAATGGTTACATTGTTTATGAAGAGTTTTACTGATGGTTACATCGTTTGGAAGTACGTTGCAAACATCTGGTTAATCCTTTAGCGACAATAACATTTTACAAACACTTAGAAAACTGCAATGGTACGTTTGACATTGTATCATTAAACGCAATTTGAACACTTGTAACCGTGTTTAAATTCATATCTCACAAACAATTCAATAAATGTTTTAAAACTCAAATGGAACATTGACTCAACATTTAAACAAACTTCTTATAAATTTTTAATAAACATATTATTTTCGCCAGGGGTACATCTTGTCTTTCTTGTGACACACAATAGAAATAATGAAATGGAAGATATAAGCGTTGTGTCGTACAGCCATAACCCAACATATTTACATTCTAGCTCGTGAATTTAAACAAATGTAATATTGCTGATGAAGTACAGTTTCAGGAAATTTGTAATCTCAGAGTAGCACTTTTATTTTATTCCGCAATTAGTTGGGAATTTTACTTATGTTAAACGGGAAACGTAAGCATGTTGGATTAAACTAGATGCTTATCAATTTGAAGGGAGATAACATAAATGACTTGTCAACTCCAATTAAGAGCTTAAAAATGACGCAGATGTTTTTTCGTCGTATTAAAATGGCGTCAGAAGTATATTATAATTTTTTTAGAAAAAAATTTTACTTTTGATTAAAAATGGAGAATTTTTGACTCTCCAAAGGAACACTTATTGATGTGTATTCACGCTCATATGGTGTTTTTTGTTTATTACCGAGAGGGAAACCACTGAGCAAAATCTTGTACATCAATGCCCACTAATGCCCAGTGGGCATTACTTTATCTTATCTTATTTTACATTATTTATTTTGTTTTGTCTTATTTTATCTTTATAATGCCCCGGCCTAATGCCCAAACTAATGCTAAAAAATTGCCTAGTAATGTCCAGTAATGCCGCAAATCTGTACACCACAGTGCCCTCAGCGGTTCCCCCCTCGGTTATTACATTGTACTTCTTCCTGACCACCCGAGCGAAAGTTCAAAATCTTTATACTTGTAAGTTATAAGCTGAAAACTTAGAGTCCCTATTATTAATTGGAAAGACTATTGAAAATATTATGAAAATTAACATTGACCCGCCGTCTACCAGTAGCTTGAGGAATTCTCTTCTTATTTTGGTATCAGGGCTGCATTCAGTGTAGACGCTATCAGTTCTGAAAGCATTAATATATCTTCGTCACTATATGTCAAACAAAGGTCGAAGACGCTTTTAGCGCTATTATCTATCTTTTTTCGACATATAGTGAGTGACGAAAATAAGCTGGTACTTTCAGCGCTGGTAGGTTCTCTCCGAACGCACCCTAGATATTGCCTGCTACGCGTTAATACAAATCATCAGAAAATCTCTTTTTTTAAAAACAAAAGAGGTAAAACATCACCAAGTGCACGCGTCAACATAAAAAACTATTATATTTTGAAATACTGTTGCATTAAAAAAATCTGTTATACAAAATGCTGTTTTAATATTTCATAAGTTCAAAAAGTTTTTTATATTAAAAAGAAGTGTTGAAAATTGCGCCAAATAAAAGAGGAAATATTAAAAAATTTAACATTTTAAATCATCGAGATAAGAATTTAAATACGCATCTAATACAGGAAATTATTCGTATATGTTTTTCATTACTAATGAATTTTATTATTTCCATTGCAGACCGGAAGGAGAATTACACTTGGGGCAGGTTAATAAGTAGTGTGTTAGTGCTCATAATCACAATAACATTAGTTGTTGGACGAACGACATACGTCAACAAGCCCTCCAGAGTCTCATCAATAGACAGTCACATCAATAGACTCCATCAGTATAATCAGTATAATGAGTATAATGTCTATTTCGACGCACTGCAACCTGTGCTACACATCGTCTCTGACCAATTTTTATCGTTTGGTCTCGATACGTCCTTACTTCGAAGAATGAATAAATTGCCCATCGAAAGGGGCAAATTTATCAAGTTGGCCTCTCACTTGAGCCCCGCTTATCTCAGAATCGGTGGAACCTCCGCGGATTGTCTGACATTTGTTGAGAATCAGGTTGGTTTGTAAATATGACATTCTTCATGATATATTAACACAAGTGACCTGGCAAATTACGATACAGACTCAATCATTTATTCTACTTACTTCGAGATACACAATAACACTAGCTGCATAACCACCTGTAGCTTCAATCTTAATGCTTTAATGGATGTATGATGATTCCAGACAGAAATAAGCTCTTCCCAGATTTTCAGCCCCATAAATGACCAGGACATCAGCAACTTTACCATATCCGGTGACGATTTGCTCGCTATCTATAATTTTTCAAAGATGTCAAATTTACGAATGATTTTCGATCTGAACGTATTGCTCAGAAATCCAGATGGATCTTGGAATGACAGTAACGCACGGAAGATTATCGCGTTCGCGAAGAATAAAAACATGACATTAGATTGGCAATTGGGAAACGGTAAGCAACTGTATAAACACGAAAAGTCTATATAAAATGTGATTAATATATGTTAAATTATAATAATAAATTAAGAAAAGTTTCTTATTATGAGCTAGGCTCCTAATATGAGATAGCGGAATTTCTGCTAAATTAATAGGCATCATCTGTTGGTTCCACCATGAATTTATTGTCCTTGGAGTGAAATTTGTTTAGCGGAAAATCGTTAGACCGTGTAATCGTTGTGAAAAAAAGATTTGTGATTGAATTTGGACGTTGAAAACCTGCTATCTCGCATTAGAATCCCACCTCATAATAGAGGACTTTCCTCTACATTTACAGAATAATATTCGCACATGCGATTCCGGACATTTATTTCGACATTTTCAGAACCAAATTCCTTTAAACACGTGTTTAACGTGACAATCTCTCCGAGCGAACTCGCGAAGGACTACGCTCACTTGAGGAAATTGCTAAATGAAGCAGGATACAAGGAAAGCTTCCTCGTTGGACCAGAAGTGAATCACGTCGGAGAGCAGTCTCATATGGGAGAGGTATATGCCGAGACATTTTTGAGTAGCCAGACTGACACCGTGAATTTTGTCACTTGGCATCAATATTATCTGAATGGACGAGAGGCTGAAGTCAAGGATTTCGTGAATCCTAACACGTTCAACTGGTTATCAAAGCAAATCGAATCCATGAAAGAATACATTGCCAAATCGGGGAGAACTGTTCCTATGTGGTTGTGTACGTGTCTTACAGCTGACTTAACGTCAAGATATTGAATATTTTATATTTGAAACTTTCGCGCTATGCGTGAATACCAGCTTTGGCTTCCGGATTTGAGCAGCGCGAGTTTTCCATTTTATTCCAACATTTCGTGAAACGTTAGCTTCATTCTCGAGAAATTATTTCTCTAAATGCTATTAATTACTCGTATATTAAATTTTACATACAGAAATTCCTAAATATGTGATATCTTCTTTAAACTTCAAATTTTCCAATTGTTAGATCTGTTTGAAATATTATTCATCACTCGCACAATTCCTCCATCTTTTTAAGATTAACTTCTCAATTGAGAACATACTATTGCGTAGCACGAAAGATTGCATTCAATAGAAAATTTAATTTACAGCTGAGACCAGCACTGCATTTGGCGGAGGTGCGCCCGGGTTGTCCGACAGATTCGTAGCCGGATTTCTATGGTTGGACAAGTTGGGGTGCAGCGCTAAGGCGGGAGTAAAAGTCGTTACGAGACAATCGTTGTTCGGCGGAGATTACGCTATGGTATCGCCGAGTCTTACGCCAAACCCCGACTGGTGGGTTAGTGTCTTTTATAAGCGATACGTGTCGGGGAGGGTTCTGGATTTGGACGTACCTGGCAACAACGGCACCTTACGACTGTACGCACATTGCTCGACGCGAACTGAAAGATCGATTGTCACACTTTACGGAGTAAATATAGCCAACCGCAAAGCTGTCGTGAATCTTTCGAAGAAACTTTTCAAGAAAAAAAACATGTTTGTTAAGTATTACATTCTGACCTCCGATAACTTGCAATCGAGGTATGTATAAAATAGTAATCAAATTAAACTTTATGACGAGTATCGAGTTGAATAAATAGTAAATTTGAGTTATATTTGTTTTGCAGCAAGATAAAGGCAAATGACGAAGAGTTAAAACTGAAATTTAACGGAGATTTGCCAGAGTTTCACCCTCGGATAATAATAAGCACTACAACAACAAAGATAACTTTACCACCATACTCCATGGTGTTCGCGCTCATCTATAACATTTTTATTCCTGTGTGTAGAGTACGAATAAACTTTTAAAGAAAGTGACAAGGTGATTTTACAGGATTTTTATACTTTAATTAATGTATACTTTCCTTAAACATTATATTAAACGTCTATAGCTTATGTTACATATTTTTTACAAACTTTTTTATTAACAAGGAAACTTGTACAGGCGTAAGGTCTGTTCATAGAGACTTTTATTAAGTAGAAATTATTCGTTTACAGTCGACAGTTCTTCGTTCACAATCCACTCTTTTTTTTACTATCATTTTTGAGATAACAAACATTACATTGCGCTATAACAGACAATAACGCAGCTGTTTCATTTTTACTGTGAGTCCTCACGGCTATACAACTTTCTTTCTCTATCGCATATTACATTTTGTTATTGTTTAAAAGAACACTTTGTATCTTTATTTAATATGGTATATATTGTGCCAGCGCCATTATTCTTAGTTCTTCTATGAAGGATCTTATAACTTTCTATACGCATAAGAAGTAACATAAGAAGTTTGTAACCGTTGTATCACACAAACAGCGAACAATATATAAATATCGAAAGTAAGATAATATACAAAGGAATGATATTTATACATCGAGCGAAAGTCCGTATATAATGAGACTAGTATTATTATTACTACTCAATACTCTCTCGGTTCCTGTGAAAACGACATTCAAGTCGGGGGAATCGTACGTTCACGATAATCGTCGACGTGAACAACCGACGCGACATTATGTGTGATAATAGGTTTCGCACGAGTATTCGATACCTATAATATAATTTCATCATAAGTTTCCTTTATTAGTACTATTTATCCTACTCCGCGCTGGAGATCGTGATAGTTTTCCCTTTAGGATCGTCGAATCTGTCCATCGTGCGGATATCCATGATCATAGTGAGCGCCCATATCATGATCACGCCCAGGATCGCCGTAACGAATATCCCCGTCCAAATCGGTATACTGGTAAAACCGACGCAGTCGTACGCGTCGCTGAACGTCGCGTTCTTCGGATCGATCTGCACCTGCATGTCCGCGATGTTTAAGTACGTGCTGCCGTTTACGAAGGCAGTTTTCGGCGAGCAATGGTAAGAGAAATTGAACGGGAAGGAGATGGCCCGCCTGGTATACAGCTTGTATCGTTCATTGTTTATCTCGTAATTCACTCTGTTCAGCGTGTAGTAGCCGATGCTCCTGATCGCGAACAAGAACTCGAGCGTCAGACTGCCGATGTTCTCGACATTGGTGAACCTGAGGGTCAGGGTGACATTTTTGTCCTTGTCCGTGTAATCCGATGCTCCGGAGAACTTGGACGGACCAAGTTTCACCTCCTCGGAATTTTCGGATAGCTACAACAAGATACTTTATTTGTACCTTTAGCCTCTATTTGTCTTGGCTAATCAATCGACATCGCTCTTCGTCAATTCTTCCCTCTTTGTCGTCTAATGCATAACTGATCTCTTTCGCAAGGTCATACTTCGATTTAACGCAATTTTCGGCTCTTCTGCTCAAACGCTCAATCTCGATCAAAATAAGCGTTTGAGCAGAAAAATTAGAAATTGCGTAAAAATCGAGTTACAACCTTGCGTAAGAGATCAGTCGATAAGTATTGTAAAACGAAATCTTAAAGCCTTGTGTGAAATTTAGGGCCTGAGCAGAATAGCTGTCTTATATTCTTAAGTCACAAGGCAGTTAAGCCTGATCTACAATGTGTTCTTTGCGCCCAGAAACATACTATTTCGTAGTCGATAAATACGTTTAAAAAATTCGTGCAAGTTGACTAATTGTATGTTACACATTGTACAATCGCACATGGTCGACAAATTTTTTAGGCGTTCCGATTTCTTTATATAAAATAGTGTGTTTCTTGGTGCGGAGAGCACATTGTAGATTAGGCTTTATTGTGCGTTACTTTAAGACAAAGATTCAAAACGTAAAGCATTGTCTTAAGAGTACAAGACAGCCATTCCGCTCAGGCCCTTCAGGATTTCTTGCGCGGTGTTAAATCGAACGTGTTCACCTTGAACGTCAGTGGCTGAGCGGAGTACATAATGACTCTGTCTGTTTTTATCTTGAACTCGGTAGAATTGTCCTCGGGTGCATCCCTCTTTATCCGCTCGGTGTAGCTGTAACGACACTGCTTTCCCGTGAGCATCATACACCCGCTCGAATCGACGTCCTTGAGGGCCATATTGAACTCGTGATCATCGTTTATGTCCTCCACCGTTCTTATCTCCTTGTAGACCTTTCGGGAGACCGCGTCCGGTGTGATGACACACGGGAAGTAAAATATTTTTGAACCGTTGGTGGTGTTTGACAGCACCTGCAATATTCGCATGCTCGTAACAATTTTGTCTTACAATACCTGGAAAGAAGCAATTGTTCTACGCTCTAGACTCTAATTATTCATGACACACGGGATGTTACGACGTACATCGAAAGGGTAGGATGGAAAATACATTTGCGGATCATAACGAACTAGACCAGTTCAATCCATTTGTCCTAGATATACCTTCTTCTTGTACCCCCTGTCTTTAAATTGGAACGAATGTACATTCAGAACAGCCAGAGGCAAAAACACATTTGAGAGGCATATTCTGTAAAAGTGCTCCGTTTTCTATAAGCCGTGTAGTACTGTAGAGCGCGAGAGAAAGAATCAGGCCCGGTCTACGGTGAGTTCTTCGTCGCTGGCCAGAAGTCAAAACTATATTTTTCTTTCTGGGCGATAAGAAAAAGGACCGATATATAGTTCAAGCGACCAGCAACTCTTTGCGGTACGAGTAGCTTTGTCTTTTTCTAACTGTCCCATTAGAAGACGAAGCCGCTCACTTTTAGCATTTTCACTTAGCGTAAGATGCAGAATTGACCCCCAAGTCTTACAGAGCTGCAGAGCTTATAGAGCAAACATATACACAATAGAGCGAGTCCTTGCAGAACACAGGGCTAAGCTTTGCGACGACATTGTAACAACCAGGTGCAATCCTCTCGCGGAGGTTCCTTCCCTCGGAGCTTCCTCTTCCGTTCTCTCTTCTCACGTTCCTCTCCGAGGCTCCGATAAGCTCCGATAAGTCCTTTTTACAGACGCAGATAAATAAGCCAGGCGGGGACGAGAGGGACTAACCTTGCTGTTCCGCAGATCCTCGACGCACAGCTCCTCGACGACGAGCACCGGTTCGGTGACGTTGAACTGCGCCAGGCTGCTCTCGAATTCCTCGGACGTCAGCTTCTGCAGCGGGCTCGACGGCGACGCTCTGTGCGCCGTTTCGTAGTCGGGCGACTCGTGCGGGCACCAGATGACGGCGGGCGTGCAGGCGCGGGCGTAGCGGTCGAAATGACAGAGGACGACGACGACGGCGAACAGCGCGAGGTACGTGCTGCTGCTCGGCTTTCCACCCGTCATCCTGGAGGTCGGAGTTGAGGCCGGGTCGAACGAACGCGAACTCACCCGCTGAATCGCGCACACGGTGACTGAGACTCTGAGAGCAGAAGGCACTCCGAAGCACCTGACCACCACCTCGTGACCGTGTGACGCCGAGCTGCGTCACGTGGACGATGCGCTTCCGGCGTTTCGAACAGGCGCCCCGCCTTCGGCGGGACGGCGGAAGTCGATTTCCCGCCGCCTTCCTCGAGGCGCGTTTCGCTTCTTTACGCGCGTATTGTCTTAATTTTTACAAAATTGTACATTTCCATGAAACACTACTTGCATTAATTTGAGAACATTGTAATTTCTGGTGCTGTTTCGTATATATTTTTACAAAAAAAATTAATGTTTCAACGAGGATATAAAAATTTCTACAAATTTCTATTTCAAGCACAGACTTCTATATAATACAACAGTATATATTAGTCTATATTATATAGAAGTCTGTGATTTCAAGTCAATATTTTTCGTAGTTACTTATGGAAATTTTTTCCGCTAGGGCTGGCAGTGAATATTGGAACGCAGCCGTTCTCGTTGTACGCTTTTCTCGAACGGAATGAAATTTTATTTTCCTACTTCAGGCCGGTCGCGCCTCGCAAATTCGAAATTGCATGAAATTTCCGGACGCGGTGAGAACTTTTCGAAATTTATTGTGAGCGATCATGGCTGATGTAAGAACCGAGAAGAGGACCGAGACTGTCATGTACTCCGTAAATATTGCTATCATTAAGCTTAGAATATGACATTTAGAATATGCGAGTTTAAACGATGCTGTCAATCTCACGTTCGGAGATGCAGGGTTAAAAAAATGAGGGACTGTTCATTTAATAGCACGCAAAGACGATTGCGGAGCAAACGTCCGATTGGAATCTTCGCTTTATGCTTATCCTTGTGTTATTTACTCAGACATTTATTAATGTATCTAGCAACTTCAGCCGTGGAGCACAGTCGGCATTTTGCCGTGTATGGAGCAGGTCGCTGGCCCTCCGATTCCAACCAGAGTCGGGGAATTCTACAAGACACCAAGACCGCATCCCTGGCGATCTACTTTGGGATACGAGGTCGTAGAGGCAGCTCCCTTGTGAGTAACAGGCTAATATTGCCAATGTACTGAGAAACACAATTTTCGGAAGAAAATGTGTTTCGCAAGACATGAACTTCAAGAAATTATACATGGAGGATTTTCTTTTAAAATTTACCCTGTACATTTTACTAGTAAAGTTTTACAAAGATTCTCATAAAATTCTTCGAAATGCCATGTTGTCCCACGATGATTTTCAGGTAAATTTTGCGACAACATTTTCTCCATGTAGAGAAAAGTCCCCTATTATGAGACAAGCTCCTAACGTTAATTGTATATACAATTAGAAAATTTATTTATATATATATATTCCTTGCAAAGTTTCAAAACGTGTTTCTCTCATCCGAGCGAATGTTTACTTAGGCCTGCGCAGCCCATAACGAATCTGCTGGTGGACGCTTGTCGCACATCGCACGGATTGGCGACGGAGCCGCTGAAATTCCCGAATTTGGTAACCGGTTTCGACCGCAATCCCTCGCACGCTGCACGTGCCGCGCTTTACACGCGGTATACCCCGTGTGACTGGGTACAGAATCAAATCAAACTCTACAATGAAGCGTATGCGAGTAGGAACTATTCCGAAAAGTTGCGCAAGAACACTGTATGCGCCTTACGGTAGAGATTAAAAAATATTCATCTATTAATAATAATTCACTCATTAATAAATTATATAATTTGAGCATATTTCATAAAGTACGTTGTTACCGCGATATCCGCTTTAGAGAACTCGACGAAAAGGTGCAGGAGGGCCAAGTAGAGAGCGGCCGAAAGCTCGGAGAAAGAATCACGGACGTCACTTTCTGGCGGAACGAAGTGGCGTCGGAACTGGAGAGATTGATCGTAGAAAACGGTAAAATGCAGGAGTGTCGTCGCGGTCTGCAAACCGCGATTCAAAATCTCGAGGGGCAATTGCATATCGCGCAAGAATGTCTTTATCATCGGGAGTCGAGAAAAGGTTCTTCGCTTGCTTACGTTATAAGAGGCTTAATGATGTGCTGTGATTGAAAATAAGCACTCAATATGAGGACAATGAAATGAGAAAATCCTGTAAAAATGTATCGCTTAAGAAGCTCAATTAATCAATAGGTATCGATTTGGTTCACGATGAGGTCGAGAAAGCTTTGTTGAAGGAAGTCGAAGCGGTGAGAAATTGCGAGAAGAAACTGAAACAGTTCATAGACAGATGTGCCAAACAGGTACGCTTGTCGATAACATACAATATGAATTTTGAAGAACTCGTTTCATGACGTCTTTCAGATGTCAAACGGCAGAGCCGCGCAACATCAGCTGCAGACTGATGTGCAGAACAAAGAAATTGCGCTAGGAATCGACAGCGTGTGTCACCAGATGAACAACTTTAGTCGAGGTCTTCAGTATTACGGTGGAATAGAAAGATATGATCCCAGGCAATTATAAAATTCTTTATAGATACACCTTTCCTTTAACTGGAAAAGGAAAAAAGGAAGATTAACAAAAATAAAATAAAATTTTTTTAAATAAATTTATATTTGCATCTCACTTTACTAAGTGTTTGAAGAACTTCATCCCATTCTTCGTACACTTTGTTTCCCTACTGACACTTGACTGAAACTATGACAATTGCATTTACAGTGTTATCGGGATTGAATCTTGGGCAGAAGCGGCAAACAACATAGTGAAGAAATCGCAGACAGAACGAGCCAAGTCGCGAAAATTGCGAAACGATATTGACAGTGCTATAAACACGGTAGGCTATGAGACATGCGAAGCTTGGGCTGAAACCAATAAAGCGCTGGACAGACGAATCGCCGAAATGTTGGAAGCGAGGGAAAAATTACAAGCGCATTTACATAAGGTAACAAACATTTTCATTTACATAACGTAACGAAAAGCTGATCTAAAATCGCAACAGAAGCATTCGAAGTTTTACTAACATCATAAACAGTATGGATATGCAGAAGCATTTAAAGGATATCTGAAAAATCATAAGATCTTCATAATAATCTTTAGAGCTTTCTTGTTAAAAATCATATGTGCTAAATTGAATATTATGTACGTGAATTTTGAATCTTAGATTCAAGAAGAGATTTTTGACGTCGAGAAGAGCATGGTATTACTACAAAAGATCATCGCCGATAAAAGTCCGGCATTAAAAGTTGCACACACGCGACTGGAGGCCAGAACACATCGTCTGGAAACTGAACTGTGCAAAGATCATGCTCAACTCAGGTTTGTCAAAATTATTTACGTATCACTATTAGATAACAATATTTGCGCATTTTATAGGCTGATGAAAGAAGTGGAGGATATTAATAAAATAGTGTATGACATGAACATGAAACTGCAACAATTTGAGGCACAGCATCAGCAACTCTTGCGTACAAGATCTAATTTGGAAACTAACTTGCAGTTTAAGATAGATGCGCTATTCATTGACAGAGAAAAGTGTATGGGACTCAGGAGGAGCTGCCCGATTTCGTTAATTGTGAAATACTGAATGTATATAAAATCTTTACACATTTTGTAATGCAGGATATATATGTGCATGTAAGTATGAATAGAAATACTAAAAAGTTTGAATTGCAAGAGATATTGAGCGAGATGTTAAATTGAATGGAGAAAATTAGTTAAATATATATATATATATACATATATATATATATGCACACAAGATTATTTTTATTAACAAGATAGCTACAAATATCTTTCTGTGGTATGTACTATTTTTGTATTTATTCATAAAAATATGACACAACCAACTTAGATCTTAGCTTAACTTTGCATCTGTACAGTTCTAGATCGTGAAACAAGACTTTAAGTATTTCATTGTGAATGTAAACCGCGGGTACTTTCAACATTCACAAGTAATATACCAAATCATATTTTTTCTATCTTTATCTCCGATTAAAGAAGCTATATACAAGCTGTACTTAAATATGTATTATAATACACACGCTATATTTAAATAGTCATGTGTACTTAACACATGCTCAACAATGTTTGCGTGAAATATTGCCGGATGCCCAGACGTGTCAACGAGAGTTTATAAAAGATATAAAAAATAGTGATTCGAAGACTTTTCACTAAAGTAGAAAGTATCATCGCGTCTTTTAGTCCATATTTCTGGCCCACTTAAAAACTGCTATAGTATCATACACATTGTTTATTGCCGCATCTGTATCGCAATCCTCTTTCAAGTAAAAAATTTTAGCCTTCTCTTGCATGTGGCAGTCCAGGACATTCCATTTTTCAAAAAGTCTAAAGGAGTTCTTTATCGGGTCGACGCATAAACTTTCTCCTATTGAAAAAAAAGATATTTTGATATACAAAAAAACATATATTATTTTATACTATGAATAATCTTGCGTCCAATGTAAAATTATGTAGCTAATAGAATTTTACAACATAATTATATTTTATATTATATCTGAATCTAAGCGGAAAATCGCTGAGTTTAATATATATCACAACTTACCATAACTAACGACGCCTCCGTCCACTTTGGTTTTGATTTCGCTCAATACTTCTTGAGTTAACTCCCGTTCACTAAGTGATCGGTCAACCAACTTTCTCAAATTGAAGGCACTGCACGTGTATGTGTCAATTAACGGACGTAACATTGTATGTAGAAATTCCATACGACTAGAATGTTCTGGCCTCAGGCTCAGCTAAAAATAATTTGGAAATATATATAACGCTGCCCTCTCTATGATAATTTACGGATTACACAGACATTATAAGTAAGTGTTTAAGAAAAGAAATTTACTTTATATTCAATCCTTTCGATTTCCCGTTCCCTCGAGTACTCCTCGTCTGAGCTATCATCAAAATTTCTCGCGTATCTTTTACTCCATAGTTCATCTTCCAGGTAAGCTTCCTGTTAAACCAATTTTTGTTATTATAATAATTCAGAAATTATTCAACTATCTATGAAAACAGATATACGTACTTCTTTCTGGGTAATAATGCCCTTGTGCGAAAGGTTCTGTATCGTTTCCATAACTACGTCCCTCAGTTCCTGGCAGGGCCGGCAGAAAATAAACTCGTACCTAAGAATGTCGCACAACTTGAACGCTCGCTCGAGCAGATTGTTTTGCAATACTGTAATATTGTTCTCGGCGATCGCGATCGGATCGTTGATCTGTGACTGCAATTCAGCGTACAAAGCAGTTACTGAAAATACAACAAGATTGCGTTATAAAAACAAGCGGCTCGCCGATCGCGCGTTCGGTGTCTTACCTACTATACTGTCCATGACGTAATATAGCAGTACAGTGTTGCTGTAGTACGACAGTTCGATCACATTTGGTAGAATCGACACGGGACGGATTGCTATAACAACGTTCGATTTGTACGATTGATCACCGTCAACAGCTTCGGTGATTTCCTGTCGCTGTTGTGTCACCAAACCTGGCCCCAAGATATCCAGCTACAAGTTGGACAATTAATAAGTTCGTTCATCCTTTCTGGTAACCAAGTTGTTCCGCTTATCATCTACCAACCGCGTGTTTAATAATATCAATGTTTTCTCCGCAAAACGCTACGTTTTTGTCAGCAAATTCCAGATCTTGTCTCATAGAATCGAACGCTTCGACCAGTTTGTCCAATGTACAGCCATCTCGGAACTTATTTAATAATAAAAATGCCACAATATTTGTTGACATAATCGGCATAGATTTGGACGCGTCTGAAAGCAATTAGACGATAATTTCGCGAGAGATTATTAAAAAAAAACGCATATTGCAATCAATAAAAATATGTCAATAAGATGGTTACTTCACAAGATGATAATCAACAAAGCGAATAATAATCATCATTTCGACTCACCATACACAACGTGTCGGGCGATGCTATCCACCATTTGACGTTGTTCTTCCACGATTACGTCCGTACCGTACAAAGACGAATTCGACATAGTATATTTTAAAGATCGTTCCGGACTTCTCAGAGCCAACTTACTTTGCTGAGCTTGGAACGCCTTTACCATTTCCTGTTAAAAATCATCTTCCCACATTAACAGCTCTCAACATCCTCAATGTCAATTCCACTTGAAGAATTATCTCTCTCTTTCTCTCTTACCCTGAGGGAAAACGGTTGACAGAAATCAATTTTGACGATACCGTAGTGGCCCATTAATGTTGACCACATGGCTTTGATCGTCGACGTGAAAGTCTCCATTTTCTTTGGTTGTCCCAATTGTTCCCTAACGAAATTCCCATCTACCAGCCGTTCATAATTGATCGCTACAGGTATCAGAAACGCGTCCTCGATGGTGCCGTCCATGTACGCGTCGACAATGACGCTCAGGATACCGCTCTTCGGCATGCAAGGTTTGCCGGTCCTCGTGCGCCCTCCTTCCACGAAGAATTCCATGTTATGACCGGCGCGAAGACTCTCCATGACGTACGTTTGTAGGGTTGCGCGATAGAGAAGGTCCTTACGTCCGGCCACTGGGTCAATACGACGTTTGATGAAGAAAGCGCCCAGACCTCTCAGAAGCCATCTGACAATCGATATTGAACATATCGTAAAAACATTCTCTTCATAAAACTATCAGAATAAAATCCTCAAACTTAGGATAACATTGACGTCAGATTCTAGGGTTACCCGAAAAATGGAATCTTCAAGTTGTCCCCCGCCGCGATTAACGGATTCCTTATATTATTTGCGACCATGAGGAAGCTGATCATTGTGTAGTCCAAGTGGCTGCGGTGCAGTGGCAGCAGCACGAGCGGCAAACCGGTATCATCCGCCTGCTTAAGCAGCTCTATCTGAGAGGGCACCGTGACGGCGGATTGAATGAAACAGGGCAATAGTTTGTACACCAGCCACGCGACTATCTTAAGGAGGGTGTCGCTGCATCTGCTCTCCATCTGCAGCAGTATGTCCCTCGCCCTGGTTTTCGTCTTCGCGAGCGCTTTCTCCTCGCTGCAACCCTCATTATTGGCCGTCTCCCATGCGGTTTGCTTGATAGCGTCTTTCAATTTTTCATCGTTCAGCACCTAGCGGCATAGCAAAAACGAGTTTAACAATGATGGAGCTATTCTTCGTCCCAATTAAGGTTCGCGAAAGCATAACTTACCGTCTGCGTGACCATCGGGTAGTCATATCTCTTGAAGCTTAGGACACAAGATACGTAGTTGAATACCTTCGAGAAAAGCGTGGTGCCTGGTTTCACCAACAGGATGTTTACACCGAACGGCTGCTGCTGCTGCTCCTTGAGCACGGATTTTACTAACGTATCCTGGAAAATAAGGATCGAAATGAAAAAAAAAAGTCTTTCGTTCAGATCTCATGGAAAGACAAATAAAATCCATCAGGCTTTGACGTGAAATCACGAGTACGAAGTAATAAAGGAGTAAGAGCCAAGACAGGATGTTAGTGTTCAAATAATTTAAATTTTAAGTCTATTGCGAAAAATATTATAAAAAATATATATAAGGAGCATATACGAAACGTACGAAATGTACTAGAAGCAGTTAATTAATATTCATCTTTCGGAAACACAGTATGATGTGCAATGTTTCAAAATTACTGAACGCGTGTTTGGTCATTACTTTCTGAGTTCTATGTAAAAAGTTTCGTTTTTAACGGAGAATTTTAAGACATTCCACATAAGAGTCATAAAATTAATTATATTATATCTTTACACTCTTTTTAACTCACACTCTTTGGATATCCGCGAACGATAACAATGCGCCACCATCGTGATAAGAATCCATGTGGTCCCTCGCACATTTCTCTTATCATCAAAATATCGAGCGCATGCTTATCGCTACATATGACATGTACAAAGTGTGTGTTATTATTATTATCTCGGCGCGATAACGAATGATCGTTTATCTCCAATAAACAGATGCAGATGTATCGATAATTCTTCACCGCTCCAGATGTACAATTTTGACAAAATTTTCAGAATACAGTCCCTCGCGTCTCTTTTCTAACGACGTAAAATCGCCATCGAATTATCGGGATGATTCAGTTCGGTGTCGTTTAAATTATTTTACGGTCATAAGCGTGACTGCATTTAAACGAAATACACGCGCAACAACGGACCTCCCTCGCCCGAATCTATTATACTTCGGACAGGCTTTTTCCTCTTCGAGATTAACAATAAGTGCCTCGGCACGAAGTTCACATTTACCCACGCGTCGACGCGTGCGTGCCTGCGTGCTAATTGTTCTTATCCGGAGAGGGTCAAGTGATGAAAGACGATCGAAGCTTCGTTACATAATTAAACACGTGTATAATCGGAGGACGTGTCCTCTAATTAGATAATGAGGCCGTAATAACAGTACTCCTGCTCGAGTGTCGCAAGACCACTATCGATTTACGTTTGATCCGAGATTTATTGAGCGTTTATTTAGAGCGAAATACGGAATGTCGTTGGTCACTCGTTGCGATACACACGATTAGCGATTACACATATGCACACACGCGTGAGGGCGTTTCGTAAATTATAGTAATCACGTTAAAAAAAAAGTCTAGTCACGGGACCGGTTGTAGCTTTAAAGGCGATCGCTTCTTAAGCGACTTATTTGCGTCGTCGTCGCACGTCGTGTGTTCTCCAACACCATTACCGGTCTCTCTCGATACTGCGCACCGAAAATAGATCGCAACCGTAGGTGTGAAGGTGCGAGCGAAACGCCTCACGGACACTCCCCGCTTCTCAGGCGCGACTAGCGATTAATGCGGATTGTTTGCGAAAAAAACAGGACAAAGGAAGATGCGTTTCGTCCGCGAAGCCCGCGATTCCGCGTGGCTAAGAGACTGATTGTGAGAGAAGCGCAGCATCCCCAAACGAACGATCTCGGTTGAATGTATTTTTAGTGGATGACCTATGTGTTGCGCGACGACACAGGAACCTTTCTCGCAATCTGAAACACCGATTGCAGAGCTCGCGACTGCTTCGCTTACGTGAACTTTGCAATTGCGACGATAAGACTGTCGCGGCGTGCATCGTTTTCGCAAATAAACATGTAATGGATTCTCGCGTATAAAGAGTAATTGCTTTGGATCTTAGGCCAACGGCACACGATACCATTTTTCCTACTGGATTGCTTACGAGAACCAATAAGAACGCAGCGTTTTAGATCAGGTGACTTAAAGCTAAATCCTGATTGGCTCTCGTAAGCAATCCAGTAGGAAAAATAGTTTATTTGGAAGATCAGTTAGACGCATTACGCTTATTTAATTAGAATTCAGTCTGCACTTTGATGTGCTAGAGCTGTATCTAACTTGTGACAAGCTGGTGTGCTTGAGGCCTGTGTCCACGATGCTAGAACTTGGTCCAAGTTCTAGCATCGTGGACACAGGCCTCAAGCACGCCAGCTTGTCACATGTTAGATATGCATAGCTCGCGACTGCTTTGCTTACGTAAATTTTGTAATTGCGACGATAAGACTGTCGCGGCGTGCATCGTTTTCGCAAATAAACATGTAATGGATTCTCGCGTATAAAGAGTAATTGCTTTGGATCTTAGGCCAACGGCATACAATACCATTTTTCCTACTGGATTGCTTACGAGAACCAATAAGAACACAGCGTTTTAGATCAGGTGACTTAAAGCTAAATCCTGATTGGCTCTCGTAAGCAATCCAGTAGGAAAAATAGTTTGTTTGGAAGATCAGTTAGACGCATTACGCTTATTTAATTAGAATTCAGTCTGCACTTTGATGTGCTAGAGCTGTATCTAACTTGTGACAAGCTGGTGTGCTTGAGGCCTGTGTCCACGATGCTAGAACCACGACCAAGTTCTAGCATCGTGGACACAGGCCTCAAGCACGCCAGCTTGTCACATGTTAGATATGCATAGCTCGCGACTGCTTTGCTTACGTAAATTTTGTAATTGCGACGATAAGACTGTCGCGGCGTGCATCGTTTTCGCAAATAAACATGTAATGGATTCTCGCGTATAAAGAGTAATTGCTTTGGATCTTAGGCCAACGGCATACAATACCATTTTTCCTACTGGATTGCTTACGAGAACCAATAAGAACGCAGCGTTTTAGATCAGGTGACTTAAAGCTAAATCCTGATTGGCTCTCGTAAGCAATCCAGTAGGAAAAATAGTTTGTTTGGAAGATCAGTTAGACGCATTACGCTTATTTAATTAGAATTCAGTCTGCACTTTGATGTGCTAGAGCTGTATCTAACTTGTGACAAGCTGGTGTGCTTGAGACTTGTGTCCACGATGCTAGAACTTGGTCCAAGTTCTAGCATCGTGGACACAGGCCTCAAGCACACCAGCTTGTCACATGTTAAATATGCATAGCTCTAGCACATCGAAAGATCGAAAGATGAAGACTATCAACGATATCAATTGTAACGAGTAGCACTTTTTAAGGTCTGTGTCCAAGTTGGTCCAAGTTCTAGCATCGTGGACACAGGCCTTAAGTTAAGTGGGTTAACCGGCTGCTAGGCAGCTCTAATTCAACGAGCTCCGTGCGCGCCCACGCGCGACGAGCAAGATTGATGGTGAACACGCGAGGCATAGTCTCCGCTCGATGATCGGCGAAAATCCGTGCGTCTCGCTGAGGACGACGGGGGTCGCAGACGCAGCGGGCTTGATAGCAAAAAACTCACCCTGGAAGCGGGCGTGCAGGTGTTGCAGCAGTAGTGCAGGAACGGGGATTTGTGCTTGATCGAGGGTGCCATCGGCTCGGTCTCCTTAATGCTGTATAACGAGCTCTCGCGTATCTTACGCGACTGCTCCCGATCATGGGCCTTCTTTCGATGGAGCTGCAGCCCGGCTCGTCGAAGACCTGCAATTGTGTCGCGTTTAACGAACCGAAAGCGCATTGTCTCGCCGCGAACCGACGTTCGAAGAGATTCCCCGTCTACGCGAAAGACGATAGAGAACTTCGCACGTTCTAATGTTCACGCACTTCTCGAATACGAGATATGATATAGAAATTTAAAAATATAAATGAATTGAAACAGGGACACGGAAGATTATCAGAGCGAATCGAAGATATGAGGTGAAACTGATGACAAGATCAAGATAGACGAGTCTGTTACTTTTATACTTGCTATTTATACAAATAAATAACGCAAAAACTACAAAAGGGTAACAAGGGTGAAACCCCAACGCGGTTAATGTTGCGCCAGTCATATAATGATATTTAATTACGATTGCACTTAGACAGTAGACTTGTTAACGTTTGCGCAAACGTTAACAAATCTGCTGTTGTACACTGATAAAAAAATATCTTAATAAAAAAATACTACTGTACTTAGGAAAATTATTCATTAGGTGACTCCTAATAACTTATTAACTTAAATTAAGAAAATAACAAATAAATTAAAACGTACATTGCTTTAATTTAAGTATTTATTAAATATTAAAGAATAAATAATTTTAAATTAAAAAAATTTATTTTGATTCTATAAAATGTTTACTAACATGTAACTTTCACAGCGAAGAAAATTGGATTTCTTATTTAAAAAAAAACAATTCATTTAATAAACAGTATTCTATATCTTATTAATACATTACGTAGATTTACGTAAAATTTGATATTTTTATTTAAATATAATAAATATTTACTTTAGTAAAAAAATAATTTTAAGTAAATCTATTAGTTTAAAAAATTTTTTTGTCAGTATGTGTAGGTATACTTTGTAACGCCTAGACGTCTAGACTAGATATTTTCGACTCCAATTTGAGTCAATTATATGACTCGCATTTTGCACGACTTTACCTTCAGTGGCCTTTTGTGGTCTGTGTATTTTATATAGTTAAATTTATACATTTATAAATAAATAATATATGGACTGCGCGGTTCTGGTTCGATACTAACACGAGAAAAAGGCTGAGAGTATACAATGGATCCCGTACAGCTGAACTGGCTGCATTAATCTGGCTAGTGCAACAAAGAACAGGCTTAATAATTATGTTCTTGAATCCGTTAAACGTACGGTAGTTACGGTGTTTTACGACTCGAAACGTTAAACAAGAGTATCTCCCGTCTAGCGATCGGGAGACGCGCATTTCGTATACTCGAAGAGAAACGCGCTGCGAGAAGACGGTCGCGCGCCGGCGATAGCTGCGGATTAATAGTAATTGTATATTCCCGCGGCGCGCATCTTACGTAAGAAGAACGGCTTCCGAATGAAAGAAAAGACAATTACCTTCCAGGGAAAACCGAGTGGTCGTCGGTTCCGCATCTCGCGTCACTGCCGTCCTGGTTTCCCACTTGGCGTACACCTCCTGCAGACGCGTGGACAATACGTCTACCATTTTATTGGGTCTGCAATTAGCACAATCAAAGTAGAAATTAGACGAGAAGGGAAAATTGAAACAGGAAGAAGTTGCTTGGAACGAAGGGAGGAGGGTATGTGTACATTCTATTTTCTCTCTGTGTACACAGAGGGAAAATAGAAACTCTTGAGGCATCAGTGAACGTTCAACGAACGATGAAGGTATGATTATTTCCACGCATCGGTCACAGTCGAACGGAAGTTACACGCAAAACTTAGAAAATTGATTGGCCGATTGATTAAAAGAAAAGTAAACTGGAAAAAGGTAGAAAGAATAGAAACTCCTTACAAAGTCGCGTTTAAAATGAATGTTAAAATACAGGGAACGATAAGGACAATTATTTGTGGCGACATGACGCACATGCACGTAATCACGTGTTGCATTACAGGCTCTATTCGTCGAGTGTCTAATGTACACAGTTTAAGAAAATGTGCGCTTATTACGCTTATTATACTGCGATAAACAACGTACTCTTGGTTGCTTGACAACGCTGATACGCCACAATTATATTAGCATCAATGCTATTCTTAACATAATAGTAAAAAATAATTGACGGATGCACGCTCTGTGTCGCGAAGCTGCGATTTATTAATTTGACGAACAGAGAAACACGCGATCTGCCGAGATGCGAATTATTTTATGCCGCTGAAAGGTGGATCTACGGTCGATCGATCCGAGATTCGCGATCACGCACGACGGACTCGAGGATAGTCCCTCATCCACTTGCACGATCTAAAAAATCAAAAAAAGGAAGAAAGGCTGCTGCGCGCGCGTTGCAAGAGCAAATTGCAAAGCAGATTTTCATCCTTTGAACGAAATAAAACGAATCGTACGTATTGTAAACAATTTTTCTCATTCCTCCTTGTTATCTCTTCTTTCTCAGCTGCTTGTAAGGTCGAAGGAAATAGATGCTGTTCGCTTCTCAGTGCACGTCGAGAGAGCTGTAAGCGATTGGGGGAAGGTTCTAAACCCTAGTAGCACAGTGCATTGGCCGAACATTGGTTAAACATTGGCCCAATGCAACCAAATATTGGGCCAATGTTTAACCAATGCACTGTGCTACTAGGAAAGGATTACTCTTAAAACGAGTAACGATTCCTCTTCGACTGATATTTCTCAAGCAATAATTTAATAATTACTTTCACCTCGAGCAAACAAATAGTAGGAGCTTTTGGCAGCTTGAAAATTTTGGTTAAATACTCAACACGCATCTTTTTTTTTGCAGTTGCGATTGATATCATACGCCGCGTAATCAATTAATTATACATACCGCGTGTCTACTTGGCACGCAGACAGTTACAAAACGCGAAAGGAGGTGTCATTAAACTCGTTTTGCAAGAGCGT